GTAGTTTTTGGTCATTATAATTTTGTGAAGACTTTTGCTAGGTTATTTTTAAGCCTAGGTCCTGGAATGCCATATGAGTCCTGCTATTTTGTATTAGAGGGAAAGTATTTTTAATAGTTTCAACTAACAGTCTTTCATTTCTTGATTTTTAACAACTTTATTGACAATAACTTACATGGGGTAAAATTCACCTAAAATGTATGCCATACCCTGCAGAAGTTGTCTTGCCCATTTGTAGAAAGTGTTTATCTCTGAACTAAATTTCCCTTCCCTAGGGTGCAACCACTGATGTTTCTACTGAGTTTTGGGGGTTTCTTACCTTGTTTTTGTTTTCTAAGGGTCTGTATCTATAGATTTGGCTTTATGGGGTGACCCCAGTGTCTGTAAGTACTTATTATGACTATGGTCATAGGTAATCAGTGATTTGCTTTCTGTCTCTAAGATGATTAAATTGTCCTTTCTAGTCACTTTGTATAAATGGAATCACAAAATACGTATTCTTTTCTAATGTCTTATTTCATTTAGCATAATACTTTTGAGATTGTTTAATAGTAGCATATATCAGCACCCTGTTCCTTTTTATTGCCAAATAGTATTCCATTATATAGATATCCTTCATTTTGTTTTTCTGTTAATGAATTGATGGCCGGGGATTTAGCTCAGTGGAGGGCCTGCCTGGCAAGCACAAGATCATGAGTTCAATTCCTGGTACCCCCCCCCCAATAAATAAAATAAAAATGAATCGATGATCATTTAGGTTGTTATCAGTATAAACTAATATTATAATAAATGTTGTTACAACAAATGTCCATCTTTGGGTAGAGAGTTGTTTTTATTTCTCTTGGTTAAATTTCTAATAGAACTCTTAATCATAGAATATATTAATTGTTGCTTCAAAATATTCTTTAAATATGTCTGAGGCCCTTCTGGGACATTTTGTATTGACTGGTGTTTTTCCCCAGTTTGAGTCACACTTTGTTCCATTGCATCTTTCATCCTCTGTTGAGTATCAGATATTTTGAATAACATTTTGAAGCAACTGTGGATTCTGACTCTTCTCTTCACTCCCCTAGCAGCTTCTGTATGGTTGTTAGGTCACTTACCTGGACTAAATCTCCCTGTCCCAGAGTATGCAACCAGTGATGTTTGGGGTTTTATTAATCTGATTTTTGTTTTCTAAAAGTCTGTATCTGTAGATTTGGTTTTATGGGACTGACTAGTGTCTAGATTAACATTTAGCCAATGGTCACAAGTTGTGCTCAGATAACTCAATAAGCCTAGATTCTGAATTGGTGGATGATTGTGCGGTTTGGGGAATATTTTTCAAACTTTGAGTTACTTTTTAGTCTGCCCCAGCTTCTGCTCTCTACCAGGTGCTCTCATGTCTTCTAAACGCATGCCTGGGTTCCATGTGCCAGGAATGTGTGGGAGGCTTAGGCCTGCTCCAGTTTCTGGAGTGCATAACATGGCTTCCGGTTAACCTGGATATATGGAGAGCTATTCGAGCCTTCTGTCACTTTCTCATCTTGTGGCACAGGTTGCTCCAGAGTTAGTCTGTCATCCATTATTTGCTTTTAAAAAAGTCACATCCTCAAGCTGGGTGAGCATAGGCACTGTTTTTACCTGAAGTATGTTAGTTTCATGAATTAATGCATCTCTACTTGATACATGCTTTTGATGAGTTTCCAGTCTTGTAACAGTTTATTCATCTTTGCAGTTCTTTTGGGAATGAGAATCTGCTAAGTTCCTCAAACCATCATACCAGAAGTCCCGAGCCCCAATATGCAGCGTCTGGCCTTGGATTCCAGTGCCTGTTTGATTCTCTGTTTGTGTCTCTTACTTGCTTAGCAAGGACATGAAACAGCAGCAGTAGAACCCTGTGGGGAAAGAACACTGAAACTATAATAAACATGGATTATTTCCAAAGTTAAGCTCATTAGGCCATTTACAGTAACTTGGCATTTTTGCACTTCTTGTTTAACAGATGAAGTACACTTGCTTCATAAATAGTATATTATTATATAAACATTTATATTGTGTATGATTTAACAACTAAAATGATTAATTGCCCTGTTTAACAAGATTCTAGAAACAGTCCCTGAATTTTCTTCCATTTATTAATGTGATAAATATTCATTGATCATCTAAAGTAGACTGGTACAGTGCGTGATGAAGAAGGCATAGATCTTGACCTTCAGGAGCATATAGGTTACTGTGTTCAGTGTAAACATGAACAGTGTAAACGGGAAGTGCTGTTGCCATGATTTGTGCTGTAGAAGTTCAGTAGGGCAATGCAATTTTCCTGAGTGATTCTGTTGCCATCCCTTACTCCCTTCACCTAGTCCTCTCTGCTTACATCCCCTCCCTGCTTAGCTTTCTCTCTCTCTCTTCCTTCTCTCTTTTTTTCTTTCTTTCCTGGAAAGTATTTATTGAGAGGAAAAAACCTTCTGTTTAAGAGGGACAGAAGGTGACATTAAAAGGGTAACATCCTTTACCTGTTACCCCTTTAAAGCTGATTATGATAGTAAGCAATATGTACACAGGGCTTCCATGTGTACTTCCTTACTTGCTCTTTTTCAGGTTTATATCAAACTAAAACATAGAGAGAACATTACCGTTCCCAGTTTATAAATATGGAGACTGTTAATCAGACAGACTAACTTGCCTGCTCTTACACTATTAGGCAGTGACAAGGTCAAGTTTTGAGTGTAGGATTTTGGTCTCTATTCAACATACTCTGTGTTCTCTCAGCTAATAAACTTCCCTCCTCTCCAAGAGTAGCTAGCTGGGGAAATGAGGCTTGGTAAGTCAGGTCAGAGTACGGAGGCAGCAGAGCAAACTGTGTTCAGGCTTTTCTTGGAACCATTACCCAATAACGGTTTTTAATGATATAATTTTAGAGTAATTAGATCCATATCTTCAGTTGCTTTTATACTTTTCTTGTGTTGGATTATGACTTTCAGCAAACCATGTTCAAAACCAAGTTCACCCTCTTTCCTTCAGTCTGTTGTCTTAATGTTCCCTTTGTTCATTGGTGACATCTCTCCCTACCTGAACAGTCAAACCACAACCGTAGAAGTCTTTGACTCCTTCCTAACCTTGATCCCAGCATCTAATCCTGTCATTTGTATCCACCCTCACAGAGCTTTTGTGTGAATAAACTGACGTAATATATGAGAAAAAACTGAAAGCTCTGAATAAGAGACATTTATTTCTTCTGAGGCAGCACCATTTGTTGAAGCATATGGGACAAAAATAAGTTCTCAAAGGTCATTCATACTTCCTTACATTGACACTTGGTTCAGTGAATATATGCTCACATCTAGAGAAAAACTTCATTACGTTTTATAGCAGTCTGCACCCTTAAAAACGTTTCCATTGAGGCAGTGAAAAAGAATGGAAAAAGAGCAGATAAGCGATTTGCCCATGGTTGCACAGTAACTGGTGATACATCCAAGCTGAAGTCAAATTCCCAGCCTCCTCCTGGTTAAATCCAGAGGCCTCTTAGACCAAAAACTACAACTGGTTTTATTGCTGTACCTCTTAATATCATTTAGGGCAGCTGACTAGCCCTTTTAAATGCTGATCTCTTCATTTAAGATAAAGATTAAGTGATAGAGTGCTGATCTCTTAGAGTTGTTGTGAGGCTGCAGTGACCCACAGAAGGATGAGAGTACGGGGTAGCGTGGTATTAGATTACCCTTTCTCCAGTTCCACTATCTGGAAACCTCAGGTGGACTCTTCTCTGCCATTTCCCTTACAGAATGAACTTCATTTGGCACATTTTTTTTATAATGCTTTGTTTAGACTTTTTTAGAGTCCACAAATTTCCACGTTATTATCCTGCCACATCATTTAAAACCAGGGCCACAATTTTTGTGTTTTCTCTTCTGCCTCTCTCCTGACTTTCCATTAAGTTTATGGTACAATAACACAATTCCATAGCATAATTCCTTTTCTTGGGAGGAGAGTTGGGGATCAAACCCAGAGCCTCACTCATACTAGGTAGTCCCTGTACCACTGAGCTTCACCCTTGGCCCTTTGACACAATTCTTTTAATTAAAAATTGTGAGATTAAACTTGGAATTTCTGAAGTTGGCTTTAGGTTCAATATTAGGAGTAAACTTCAAAAAGCAGAACTGTCCTACAGTAGAACAGGTAACATTCCGAGGAATCTGAGTCACTCTTGGCTACTGGTATACAGATAGTCTGCCACTGCTTCATCTCTGCATACAGTCCTTGAGCACCAGAAACCATTGTAAAGTACATTGTAATGAGGACTGTCACAAATATTTAAGCTGCCTATTACATTTTTATGTCTGGAATTTTTGATTCATAATTCTGTGCTGTCATAATTAAATTGACAGGATGAAAAATGAAGTATAATTTAGCACAGCGTGAAAGGTTGTCACTTCCTAGGTCTATGCAGAGAGCTGAGTTTAATACTAACTTCAGGCTAACGCTGCAGGTATAGCTTTCAGTCCTGTTGTGGGGCTGAAGACACCCACAGCTCTGCAGTGAGGTCACGAAAGTCCACGATCTCTGTTGAGGGTAACTAGGCTCGTCCAAAATACATACATTCTGTATTTTGATAAAGTAAAAGATAATGCTGTCAGTCATATCATAAGGTTTTACATGCAAAGTTTGATAGGTGTTGCATGCTGCTTTAGGATTAAGATTACTTGGGCACTGTTGTGTCGTTTGATATATATTATTCTCAGCTCTCACCCTCCTGTGTCCCTTACCCACAACCATTACAGTGGCCAGAAAGACTACTTGCTGTGTTGTGATATGTCTTGAGTACTGCCCGTTAGTTTTCAGTAGTTACCCCGGCCTGCATGTTAGCCTTCAGTTTAATGGCCTTTTTTATGTTCATTCATTTTATTTTATTTCCCATCGTGGTTTTGTTTATTTCTTTTTTGTTTTTTGTTTTTTCTGTTCTCTTTTTAAAAACCGTCGTGGTTTGCCCTTCATATTCCCCAATGTTTGCACATGACAAGATGTTGCCATCCCAACATTACCTCCCACTTCACTGACCAGTGCCACTACTGACCATCTAGCACCAGCCACAGCGGGACCTCTGCCTTCAGCCCCTCGAGATGTTGTGGCCTCCCTCGTCTCTACCCGCTTCATCAAACTGACATGGCGGACACCTGCATCTGATCCTCACGGGGACAACCTCACCTACTCTGTGTTCTACACCAAGGAGGGCATTGCCAGGTAAGTGCTGGTAGCCTGTGATTAGGTGTACTCCACCCAGCCATGCTCTGTCCAACTTTTTGTTGCACAGGATCTCTATCAATTCTCAGTCCAGAAAGTAAGGTCACTGTCCTACATTTTTTCCAATTTTAGCTGATGAAATAAATTTTGACACAGATCAAAATTCTGGTATTCTTTCTTGTGTTTCTGTGATAACTTGGAGAGAGGGTAAATAGAGCTACTTATGCTATAAATATTCAAATATAACCAATTACCCTTCTTTTTTAGTAAAATTCAGTCAGCACAGATCCTAGAAATTAAGGGAGACTTAATTTACTAAAGTAATATTAAGTGAATGTGGGCCTGCATTCATATATGATGTGAGCTGCTGAGCTCCAGGTGCTTTTTGATGATATAAGAGTAGTTACAGTGACTGATTTTACAGTATTTTCTTTTAAATTTTTCTCTATCTCCACTCCTCATCAGAGCTCAAATGACTTTTCCATTGTTTATACACAGCCTGGGTTTAATCTGTCCATCCTTATCCCATTCCTCCAGTTAAACTCACTTTCTAATAACACCTATCTAATTCTTATCAGCACAGCATTTTCCCCAGTCCTCTCAGCTGCTTTCCTCTCCCTTACTTCACACCAAAGTAAGAAAAATAAAATAGTTTTCATTAGCCTCCTAACACCAAAAGAAGCTTGTGTTTCTTCTAAGGTACTTATATTTAATATGCACACATTGTGTTTGATGCCAGACTAGCAAGCTCAGCAAAAGTAGAACTTTAATGTTCAACAAGTTTGAATGACATTGAGATGTGAATGACATAATTTGAGTCTGATATATGGAGTTACATACCGAGTAATGTTTACCTGAATACTATTGCATTGGTTACATTTCCATTGCTAGATCAAAATACTCAGCACTCACAAATTGAAGGAGGATAGGTTTATTTGGTTTGTATTTTCCAGTGTGCCATCTAGAGTCAGCTGGCTCCAAGGTAGAAACAGCATGTTCATCTCCTGGAAGCCAGGAAGCAAAGAGCCAGGGGAGGAGTCAGGACAAAGAATATGTCCTTCCAGGTCACATACCCAGTGACCTACCTGCCCCTTCTCACCAGACTCCCCTTCCTAACAGCACTGTCAGCTATGAACTCATCAAGAGACTAAATCCACTGAAGGGTATTCCCAGTCATCTTGCAGAAGCCTGTTCTCTGAACATGAGACTTTCAGGGGGCATAACTATACTGGATATTTTGGATAAGTAAATAAGTTCTTTATATAAAAAGATAAAACATGATTTCCAGCCCAGAAGTTTCAGCCTCAGTGTTATCTCCAGTAGACCTTGAAGTCCCATTGCAAATCTCACAGGAGTTCATAGAATGAAGAAAGCATTTCATAATTCTGCATAATAAGCTCTGTTTTCACAATAGGGCCCTTGCCACTGTTGTTCAGTCTATCAGAAATATATTTCCTCACAAAGAACTCTATGTAGCTTCTTTCCTGTCACCCACAGATGACACCTCCTCAGGTATTCCCTCAGGCATACTCACCCGTACTGCACCCTCAGTCACCTTCACACTGTGGTGTATTGCAGTCACCTCATTTCTGTGCCAGTTATTAAAGTTTCTAAAAATTTTGCAAGCCTGATGACATTAATTGGCAATTGGAAATGGTGTTTGGTGTGGTTAGAGTTACAGAGACCAAACACATAATAAGCCAATGTCTTATGGCTTAGGTGGTTAAACGTCTACCAAAACAGTGCTGCTGTTGCATTGCCTATCTTGTTGGTTTGGGTTATTTTGCTTTTGTCTTGGATTTTTTTCTGAGCACTTAATATTCTTGAAAATTTTGTTTTGTTAATATATTTATTGTGTTTATTTTGTCCAATAGAATATCTGTACTTGGAATAGAGCATGGCATGTAGTATAATTTATTAAATTATAAATCAATTTTTAGTCTTTGGAAAAATAGATTTTGATGAAATCATGTTGAGATGGTTCTCATTGACTGGGGAAAATAAATTGTTCTCATTTTATATTGTGTGCAATGTAGATAAAGAGATACATATAGGTAAATGTACTAAATAAATATTTTAAAAATTTATATTAGAAAAAATATAGAAACTTTTTATTATTTGGGAAGTAAGAAAGGCCTTTTAAGATATAGAAAACCCAGACACCATGACTAGATAGATAACATGCATTATTATTACTATTTTTTGATAATGTGTATTATATAGCATTGTCAAATTCTCACGTGCTAAAACGTAAACAAGATCAACATATCAAGTGACAAGTTAGAAAAACAGTGTAGTATTTATAAAGGATTATATTGACACCTGACCTAAATTAAGAACTATAAATCATAAGTTAAAGATACCATTTGCCAAAAGGTTGTTAAACATCTACCAAAAGGCAAATGATATAAGCAGGCAATTCAGAGAAGTCAGTGGATAGCCCATGAAACTTTAAAATTTATTTCTGTATCACTAGTGATCTTGGAAATGCCAGAATTATCTTTGGTTTTTAATCTGTATGGCAAACAAAATCCTGTGTCCAGGACTAAATAAATTGAAAGCTGAAAAGAAATGTTAGGCTATTGGTGGCAGCATTAAGTCTTTAGGGAAGGTGATTTGGTTGACTTAAATCTACGTACTTGTGTCTGTGTCAGGGATGGTACTAGGGATTGAGCTCAGGGACTTCATACTGAGCTGCTATGTCCTCAGCCCTTTTTATATTTGTTTGAAAGCAACAGCCTTGCTAAGTTACCTAGGCGAGGCTTGAATTTCCAGTCTTCCTGCTTCATCCTCCCAGAGTGCTGGGAATAGGCAAGTTTTAAAGTCTTTAATGTGCTTGACCTTTACTCTAACATATACACTAATAGGCATCTGTCAAATACAACGGCTGAACAGAAAATATGGAATGTGTTCAAATTTTTAGAACATATTCCTATAAAAAACACATTTCCATTAATCTCCCCCAAACAATTTGCCCACCTTATTTTATTTTTATTTTAATTCCAGTAATAAAGAAATTACTGGAATTTTTTTTTCTTTCTTTTTCTTTTTTCTTTTTGTTTTTGTCTTTTTGAGATAGAGTTTCACTATGCAGTTCAGGCTGGCCTTGAACTTGCAGTGATCCTCCTGCCTCAGCCTCCTAAATGCTGGGATTTCAGACGTGCACCACCATGCCTGGCTTCCTCCTGGTTTTGAACATATTGCTAAGTGCTTTTATGAGTTGTGATAAAAAGGATGAAATGCTGCTGCCAGGTGTCATCCAAATAAAAGCAGTTTCTTAAAAACATAATGTGTCCTCATCCATGAACTCTGGCACCATGCAACTTCAGGTCTTCTCCATAGTCAAATGGCCACAGAAAATAAACATTTTGAATTGATCAATTCAGGACATTGAGGCAGCAACTGCAACACAGTTAAAGACACTTACAAAAGAGGACTGCTAGACCTGCCTTAGAATGTGACAAGAAAAATAGGATGGTGTGAAGGGAGTAATATTTTGAGGAGAATTAACATGTTCACAGCAGTTTGAACTGCTGGTGGTCCATACACGATTGTCCTGTGGGATGGTTTATACCAGTAGTGGTAACAATGAATCCAATCACCTTTGTCTTTGTCATTTTTTCACTGATAAAAAGTCTATAGTGAACCAATATAGTTACTCAAATCTGAATAATTACTGCCCAAATATAAATATTAATACTATTTGTACCAATTAAACAATTACTACAGTAACAAATTTATTTCATTAAATTTATATTTGGGAATTTCTTTAATAGTTTATTGATAATTCTCTAAATTCTAACATGAAAGTCTTGCAAGTATCCCATTGCCAGTGTATGTAATATGTATTTACAATTGCTATACCACAAATTAGCTATATTACAATTTTTTACATCATATTAATGTTTTCCTTAAGGAGCTGTAATGATTACATCTGGTCTGCTAAATCAACTCCTTTCTTTGCATTCTTGTAATCAAAGACCTCTAAGAGTCAGTACAAGCCCCCCAGTAGGACAGTAGTGCGTGTACCACTGCTGTGCATGCTGCCTGGTAGGCAGCCAGTTTAAATCAGAGCTGCCCAGCAGTGAGACCCGTGAATTATGGCTTCATTGCTAATGTGTTCATGGCAGCGTGTCTTTTTCTCTAATAATTTTTTATTTAAGCATTCATATTTGTAATTATAATTCAAACATAATTGCTTTGTAATTATACTTCATAGATGTAGATGTATGTGAGACAATCATACAAAGTTTTATTGAAACACTGTTTTAAGATTTAGAAAGGAAACTAAGCATCCGTTTAAATAGAGGACTGGGCACGTAGTATATGTATATCCATATGAAGTATTATACAGCAAATTTTTTAAAATGACTTACATGTACATTTTGATGTGTGTAAATAATGCCTGGAACAGTAGCTTGTTTTGTTTTGTTTTGTTTTGTTTTGTTTGGGTGGGCTCGAGTTTTTTTGTTTTTGTATTTTTGAGACAGGATCTCACTATGTAGTTCAGACTGACCTTGAACTCACTATGTAGACCAGGTTGGCCTCAAACTCACAACAATCTTCCTGTCTTAGTCTCCCAAATTCTGGGATTGCAGGCATGTGCCACCACGTCCCACTCTAGAACAGTGGTTTTCAACAGGGACAGATTTGCTCTCCATGTCTTAGGGACTGTTTGGCAGCAACTGGTGACATGTTTATTGTCAGCTGGAGTAAGAGGAGTGTACACTGACATATAGTAAGTGCTTACAGACCAGAGATGCTGGTAAACATCCTATAACGTACAGGAGAGTCCCCTACAGCAAAAATTTATGTTTTCCCACATCTCAGTAGTAGGAGGTTGGGAAGCTCTTGTGTAAAGAGATGTGATAAGATACACATCGTTACCTCTTGCCACAGTCAGGCCTCAGGTTAGGATAGGTTTTGAGGAAGTAGAACTAGAATTTTTTAACTATATGTATGTTATATATTTGTATGTTTTTAATGAGAACTTACCCTTTATATTTAAATTTTGGATAATGGGTCATGGGTTGTAATAAGCAGAGATGACTAATAAGTGAATTTGGAGTTGAGCGAAACACAGTTGGCGGGAACAAGCAAGCATGATAAGATAGGGTAAGCTAGGAATGCAAGGTAAGCCTGGTTCCATCTGGGTGTTTGGTAAGGACAAGGACACCTGAAAGCTAACCTGTGTGACCCAGAGATTGAGTGATAGGATTGGAAGTTTGGGATCAGATGGTGGGATACCAGTAAGAATTTTGACATAGTCAGGTAAGATGTAATTTTAGACACCAAAGCAGGTATACACTGTGGTTATATTAAGCAGTTTGTCTTAGCAGTACTTTGATAGCATTACACAAGACAGAGGGGAGGAAATGGGGTAGGGAATAAATTCAGTAGTAGTTACGTTACTCTAAACATGTTACGTGGGTAATAGCCTTGGTGAAGATGAGAACAATGAGGTGAGCAGATAGATGAATTTGGAGAATATCTAAAAGAATCAGACTACTATTTTCTGTTACTTCATTAAGTTTATGCTTTCTGAACAGAAGCAATGAAGGAGTAGTAGTGAGAAAAATTTATTTAACCTTTCTAAGCTTAAATATTCTCATTTAAAAACCTATGGTAATTACTTCACAGGCTAAAGTTGTAGAACTACCTTTATGTGTAAATCTATATTTGAAAATTGAACCACCAGGTGGCACTGTGTGCCTTGTTCATGAGCTCTATTTTTGTTGGGTACTTGAGTTGCTGGAGATTGAAGAGTCCTTCCTCTGCTTTTTCAGTTACGAAATTTTTACTTTATTTATTTATTTATTTATTTAGCCTTTAAATAGCATTAATTTTTCTGGTATTGGACATTAAATGGAAAATAGAGACTAACCCATTCCTGATATCATTTTAGACATGGGTGAACCCTTGAAGATCTGTAATTCAATCCAGGGCCTGGTAAACTATGGCTCCTAGGCCAAATAAGAGCTTCTATTTGTATGGCTCAGGAAGGAAGACTAGTTTTTATACTTTTAAATGGTTACATTTTAAAAGGTTAAATATGTAATGGCTTCCCTTTAAATACTCACCATCCAACACTTTAATATCCAACCATCTCATTATTTCATGCAATACATATGGAAAGTAGGGCCCAGACAGAGCCAGTACTCCCACAAGTCTACTGGCAAGCTAGTAACATTGCCACAACTAGAATTAGATCTCCTAATATGGCGCAGCACTGCCTTAGTACAAAGTATATCTTTTTCTTTGTTCCTCTTTTGTTCTTTTAGCTGCCCTATTCTAACCTAAGTGCCACTGTAACTCCATACATTTATAATAATTGCCTTTTCTAACACTTGTTGGATCTTGTTCCAGAGGCAGAGTTTTTTCTGGGCGAAAACTTAGTTCTGAGATGTCAGACAAATCTAGTGGGAAAATCATCTCAGATTCTGTGTCTTTTATCTTGGCAAATCATCTCTGTAACCAATTTCCTTTTTATAGTAATGCTTCTGTGTAAATTTTTTTCTGGTTTTAGTAACTTTACTTACTTTTCTCATTTTCACCTTTTACACAGGAACAAACAAGATATGCATGGTATTATCCCTCTAAGGTTTACCCATCAGAAAGCACATTTTCATTCACTCATTCTGTAACTGTGGATGAGGCTGCTTCTCTGTATGAGCATTCAGCTCTAGTAGTGGGTGAATGTGCATGAGCCAGGCTTTCCCTTAAAAAGTAAAATAGCAAATGCCACGCAGGTCATCTTTCTAAAAGAAAATCTGTTTAAAAATTTTATATAAAAAAGTAAGCAAAAGAGACTTAAGCTCTCTCATGGAGAGGACTCATTTGTAATCATACCAAATATCAGAAACCTCACTGTCTAAGAAATCAGTTGCTGTTCTCCTAAATTCTGTGATTTGGTGGTCAAACACAAAATATTAATTATAAACACCTCATAACATAAGACTACCAAACTCATTTTTGGTGTTTGCGAGATTTTTTTAAACATTTCAGTTCAATTTGAAAATCATTTAGGAGGAATATTAAATTATAAACAGTTAGTTTTCTTACCACAATACTGTGTTTTAGTGGGCCTAATTAATAATGAAACCAGCTGGATGTGGTAGGTCACACCTGCATTGACAGCGTTCGGAAGTCTGAAGCAGGAGGATCGTGGTCAGTTCAACACTAGCCTGGGCTACAAAGTGAGCTCAAGACCACCTGAACTGCCTAGCAAAAGACAAAGCAAACAAATAAACAAAAATAATGAAACCACCTCTGTAAATACTATGTTTACTGTGTAAATACTAAACCATTGAGCTACATCCATAGCTTTATACATTTAATGAAAATCAGGTAGCTTAAAGAACTACTTAATACACTTAAATCTCAGATGCCAGTGTTAACATATAATCATACAAATTAGTAACTGCTCATATAGATCTAAACAAATTTTAATCAGCAACTTTAGGGCAAGTTACCAGTATTTCAAGAATTTCAATTTAACAGATCAGGTAATTCACAATAATTTCTTCCAGAATAGTTTTGGGCTCTTTTATTTCTTTTTCAAGATAGACATAGCTCTTTTAGGAATGACAGTTCTTAAAGGCCAGCTGTCTAAAACAATTTCTTTACAGTATTTGTTGAAAACCAATGCATAATCTGAATTTCATTTTAGTAAGTACAGTAACCTATACATAATTCTGAGCATAACTTGGACATGTAGAACCCAAAACAGACCCTGGAAGCAACCTTTCTGTGAAGAACTTTGATCAGTGATGACGAACTGCTTAGCAACCAAGCACCCAAACTGCAGCCCCAAATCCACTTACAAAATCCACACAGTGCCAGCATTGCAATTAAACCTGAATACTGAGGTTTTAGTTGAAAAAAATAGCTCATACATTTACATCTTTTGTTTTGAAAGAAAAACACAATAACCTGAATGCCAGATGTTCACCACCACTGACTTAGATAATTGCTTTTACATTTGTATCTCATAACATCAACTACCAAGCTCATTTATGGTGTTTGTGAGATTTGTCGAATATTTCAGATCTGTTTGAAAATCATTGAGAAAGAATATTAAATTATAAAAATCAGTGCTAAAAAAAACTGTCACAAAATCACCTTTTACAGTTTGGGTTACATGTATTCTTTTAATGTTTTTGTTCTTATTCCCAATTTAAAAGTGGTAACTTCTAGCTTTTTAAAGTATGTATTCCTTGGTATTTTCTGTGAAAATCAGGTGCTACCAACAGTTATCTTCTGTCCATTTCCCAGGATTTACTCCTTAGAAACTAGTAGTTTCAAACCAGGTGTGGTGCATGCCTATAAGCCCAGTAGTCCAGGAGGCTGAAGCAGGAAGATAAAAAGTTCCAGCACAGCTCGGGAAACTTACAGACTTAGTGAGACTTTATCGCACAACATGAAAGGTCTGGGAGTATAGGTCAGTGTGAAGGCCCTGGGTCCAACCCCACACCCCCACCCCTACCCCCGCAGTAAAAGCTCTTAATGATTTCTAAAGCCTACAGCGTTGATAGCCAACCACTTGATTTAAAGTGGCCTTAAGACCTGTACCACCTCTAAAAAGAAACAGTGATTATGATCAGTAATATCAGTAACATCTATGCAACAACATAAAAAAGTTGTTATGTATGACTTCATCTTTTGCCAGTGTCCATGTTCTACTGTGCATTGTTACACCCCCAAAATGAATAAGTGTCATTAAATTATAAAATTTTGATGTGAAGTGAACACTGAAATTATACTTTCTGGAAATATTCCTAAATGATAGTTTTTCCTTTTAAACTCTTTTTTGTCTAAAGAGAGCGTGTTGAGAATACCAGTCACCCGGGAGAGATGCAGGTTACCATTCAAAACCTAATGCCAGCAACTGTGTACATCTTCAGAGTTGTGGCTCAGAATAAGCATGGATCCGGAGAGAGTTCAGCTGTACTACGAGTTGAAACACAACCTGAGGGTAAGTCTTCACTTGTCTGCCAGCCCCTTGCAGAAGGAGGCCTGTGTGAAGGTGTACCTTGTGTTTGGCCTTGCAGAGCACAGGAGAGATAAGAGTACGTCTTCAAGGTCTTTATGAATAGGGAAGACAAAGTGAATTTCCATCGCATGGTAACAAATAGTGTAATCCTCCTGGTACTTTGCTGCATATTCATGTTATATTGATTCTTTAAGACTTGGCTCAGATGCTTTCCTGAATAAATCTGATTCTTTGTACTCTAGTATCTGTATAATTCTGAGATATATTATTACCTCCTCCAATTGTACCCTCTCCAGTTGTGATTATGAATATCTTGTTTATGGATATTTGCCATAATGTCTTCTAATACCTTACACATGAAGTGGATATTTGTAATTCTCATCAACTGGATTGCCCTGTCTTCCTTTATTCCTCACCTGTTAGAAGGTTTTGGAGCCTTCCCTTTGGACATGTGGCCTTTTTGTGCTAAATAGTGTTATTTCCTCATTAATACCCTTTCCCATTTAGATTTTCTATGAATGAGGCAGGTTAGTGTATATTGTAAATGTCCTGAATGCTATAAGTTTTAGTTGTGTGCTACAAGCCTGAAATGATACGAACAATCAAGTTATGAACAATGCTTTTAACAGTTGAAGTTTTCTTCTGTATTTGTGCCTTTTGACATCAAACATTGTTTTTCCTCAGAGCATTCTCTATGCTACTTTTACTGCTAACTGCAATAGTTTTTCCATGTTCATAGACCTTAGGTAAAAAGATTTTGCATCAAGTAGGGCACATGTGAGGTATGTTTGTGAAAATACTGAACCAGGGATTAAACAATGTGAGTGAATTTACCAGTAAAACCATGGAAATAATTCAAGGATCTTACTCGATGGATAAAACAGAAATCTTAGTTACTTTTCTCTTTGCTGAGATAAAATACCCATCACCCAAAGTTAAATAGGAAAAGGTTTGTTTGGTTCACAGTTCATAGAAATTTCAGTTCAAAATTGGCTGGCTCTAAGGCAGGGGGATGTGGTAAACCCTAACCTTGCAGTAGAAAAACAATTCGTGGTGGGCAGAAGGCAGAAAAACAAGCAAGGGAAGGACTGTAACAGCGTGTTTCTACCCCTTGTTTCTTATCCAGGCTACTTAGGGTAGGTCGCCCTCACATCCTTAATCCTAGTGTCTTTGAATTTAGCTTTGCACTATGAATCAATCCCAGCCAGTTCTGAATAAACCTACGTATGACTGCATGATGCTTTGGGGGGACATCTAGATACAAGCCATAACAATAGATAAAGTCACGAAGCAGTGCACTTTACTTTTCAATGCTCTGTCAAATCATTCATCAAACTTTTGAGCACCTCCTATACTGGCTGGGTACAGTGCAAAGTTTTAGACATACAGGGATGAACATGGCAAGATTTGTCCTCTTATAAGAATGAGAGTAGAGATAGGAGACTATTGATCATTTCATAAAGATCAGGAATCACACCAGGTAAGAACAGTGATCATCAGAGGGCCTAGGAGAATGTGTTTTTATTACAGAGAAAGGATGTTGAGAATTTCAGTTGTCTATGTTTAGACAAACACAGAAATATTCCATTAGATTTCAAGTTAATTTACCCTTCATTAGGTTTTATGTGTAGACATCATATATGACAGATGATATGATTCAGAATAAGGAAAAATCCCCTTAAAAAATAGGTAAGTCAAGGCACGACTGAAAAAATAGGGTCTGAGGTTGACCTTAAAGCATTTAACTTAGCCCAAGCATTCTTGGGAAAAATGCTACATAATGGAAATCCCAAAAATAGTACCAAGGGGTCCACATGTAAGTGAGTCATGATAATAATGAAGATCCCTGAGTTTAAGGTTAAGTTCTAGAAGGCTTAGCTTTTGTCCACAAGGTGAGTAGAGATGGTAAGTACAATACATAATAGTGTGAGGTGCTTTCATATGAAGGGAAGAGGGCAGCACAATCACTCATTCAAGGAGTTTGAGTAAGAAAAGGATTAAGTAAGAATATAGATGGAAGGGGCAATAAGTTCTGCTGAGGGTGCTGTGGGGTTGGAAAACCACAATAACATTTTGTCAAAAGAGATAAAGGGAGTAGAGAGAAATTTGCATTTCAGCTGTAGATATGCAGCTTGTGTGGGGGTGGCATAAGTGTTGTAGTCAGCCCTTGGAAAATATTTTGCATATTTAGCTTCACAAACCAACTTTAAATTTCTTGCATTTATTATGCTACCATACAGCTAAAATGGAAGAATTCATTAGTGCCTTTTTTTTTAGTATGTTTGTCTGTACTTAGCCAATGAATATATTGAAAGTGATTTCAAGGGAATTTGGGGACTGCTGTGTTTTCCTTTCCCTTTAATAAGTTACAGGAAAGTTTTCCAAAGTGGGAGAAGTGTGACAAATCTCACCTGTCGTGCAACATAAAACATGCTCTTAACTGTTAGATGAATAACATAGTTCATGGCTGAATAAAGCAAACAACTATTAGAGTAACTATTTTCAGGTTTCTCTGCTTTGTTAGCAAAACAAATCTTAAGTCATAGCACTGTTACAAAAAAGCCAGTTTGTTTTAAATTTTGCTAGTTTTTTCCCTTTCCAGCTCTTAAATCTAATGATTGTCTGTTGCAAAGATACCAGTGCCAGAGAAATTGTTTTCAAATATAGAATGTCTGCCAAAGTGTAAACATGGGCACTTACCCAGAATTTGTACACAAATTGAGACTAGCGTCTGTCAGAGAAAAAAGGGTGTATCACAGGAAAGGTCAGTATGTAGGATATTGTACAAGTTAGAGTCAGATAGAAATTCTTCCAATTGACTGTTGAACAGTCTGTGAGTTGACCACCAATCCAGTCACCCAGTTACACAGACTGCTGTAAGGTAGTACAATAATCCTACTGGTCTTCTTGAGCTCATTTTTCGGATCAGAAAGTGCCCAGCTTCTGGTTCTATTGCTGTAACTTTCCTATCAATTGAGAAAAATTCTTAACATCAAAGCCTCATTTGTAAATAAGGGTCATAGTATCTGTCTTTTGGGGTAGAGATTCATTGAGAAAAAAATATAGAGAACTGAATGCTTGACTGATTATAATTATTCAGTAAATGTTAGCTCTTTAAAAAAATTTTTTTAATCTGGTCTTCTACCTTTACTGTTCTTCTGTATGTGTTTTTGTGTCCTTCTTAAACATATGTGATTATGTCATGCTCGTCTTGCTCATTTCAGTAATCAAATAATACCTATTAGGATAAAACCTAAACTCCAGAGCAGCACATTCAAGATTCTTCACTGTTTGGCTCTTATCATTTGTTTCCAATATTCTCTGTCTCATATCACATCTGTCCCTTGCGGTCAACTAAACCATGTAACACTCTCTTGTCCATGTGTCCTCCTGAGTGACCCTGTTTACTAGAGTACTTTTCTGCTTAGCATCTGAAAAAATTGTTATTCATTTTGACTCCATGAAGTTGTCACGACCCTCCCCTTTCTCTCAAAGCAGAATTGTATGCTATTTTTGTTTTCATTGCAACCACACTGAAATCTGTTCACACTCATGATGTTGTTTGTAACTCTTTCTGCACCCAACTCCCCTCCCAAACTTGGAGTCCTCTGTGAACACGGACCCTGCCCATCACCATCCCCAGAGCCTGCCATGGCTTCTGGCAGAGAAAGGATCTTTTCTTGTGCTGGTTCCAAAAACTAGTGTTTTATAAATGATAGAACAGTTCTTTGGTACATTTTTCTTATTTTAAATAAATGGGAGATACCTCACAGATAATTTTTGCTTTCCACTTTAGTCATAAAAAGGAAAATATGTGCATGTATTATCCTAAAACCACATCAATTAAATCAGTTGCTTTCTTTGCTGAGTTCTACAACACAGCCTCATATGACAGTATTGCTGAGGTCAGTCATTGAAAAGTGTGGTGAATCTCATTTGTATCTTGCTATCTTGAAATTCTTTCCAGTTCAGCTCCCTGGCCCTGCACCTAACATCCGAGCTTATCCAACTTCTCCTACTTCCGTCACGGTCACATGGGAGACACCAGTGTCTGGCAATGGGGAAATCCAGAATTACAAATTATACTACATGGAGAAAGGAACTGACATTGAGCAGGTATAAAATAAAGCCATGACAAAGCCATTGGTTAGAATAGTACAGTTGAAATATATTTCTAAATCTCAGTAGTTGCTTGACTGAGGGTTAAGTGTAAGATATATGTGAAATGAAAAGTTGGGTCTATTTCTTTGTATTTGTATTTATTCTGTAGTTTTTACAAGCAAGAGTCACTAAACAGTAACATTTCTAAGTAAATTTCCAGTGTTATTAATTTTTTAATCATTAAACAATATTCTATAAAAGAAACAAAACTGAAATATGTAGAATGTAGAATACCTATAGTTAATCATTTTGTAGCACTTTTTTTGGCTTGAACTGTGTATATATATATATATACACACACACAATGTTTTATTTTATTCAAGGATGTTGATGTTTCAAGTCATTCCTACACCATTAATGGTTTGAAAAAATACACAGAGTATAGTTTCCGAGTGGTGGCCTACAATAAACATGGTCCTGGAGTCTCCACACAGGATGTTGCTGTTCGTACATTATCAGATGGTGAGTCTTTCTTCCCTTTGAAACAAAATACAACACTCAGTGCCCCTAATGGTGTTGTACGAGGATTATGGGCTTTGATTTCAAGAAGATTCAGCTCAAATCCTAATTCTATCCCTTAATAGAAAGTGTGACTTTGAAGTGGTTTAACTTTTCTGAGCATTTTTCCTCACTTGTAAAATGTAGATAGCTCCAACTTCACTGGGTTGCTATAAAAATTGACACAGGAAGTGCAGAATGTAGAGCATCTTAACTGAATTGATTCTCAGGCATTTACATATTTATCTGAAGCTTCTGTGTAAGTAAATACAATTGCTTATCCAATGTACAGACCATCTCAGGAAGGCTAACTGTACTCAGCAATCATATTTATTTGCTGGATAGATATTTTTAGCTTGTCAGTATTTTGTAACAATTTATTCCTCATCTGTGACTGCATTTCAAATTAAATTATATATACATATCCATGTCCTAGAACAGTTATTTTTCAAACGACAGCCTGCCAAAGAGATTGTTAGTCAAGACTAGCGTTTGTTAAAATATTTTTAAAATGGAAAATAACGGGAGCTGGGGATTTAGCTCAGCGGCATAAGCACCTACCTTGCAAGCAGGCGGTCGTGAGTTCAATCCCGGGTACCGATAAAAAAAAAAAAAAAATAGAAAATAACAGAGTTCATTGTACTTAATAAGAATATCTTGTTTCATGAAACTCAGCTAAATCCAGATCTAGCACTTTATTAAAATCTCTATAAAAATATATTTGTGTATGTGTGTGTGTTAATATTCATGCTTCAGAGACTGTAGTTTGACTCACTTAAGCAGATGATCGAAATTAATACCACCAGTAAAAGAGTAGATTGAGATCATGTGCCACTGATAAGGTGCACAGAGAACAATGCAATCTCATATCTGTGGTGTCCCTGCATAAAACATTTAACTTGAATAGAATATGAATATGAATATGAAAAGAGTAGGCATATCCAAATTAAAGGAGGTTTTGCCCAAAAACACCACCCTTTTTTTAAGTTTTACAAGCTGGTATAGATTCTTTTCCAACTTGCTAGTCCAATTATTTATATACGGGATGACCAAAATTGCATGTTTTTCATTAATTTTTATAAGATAATATAACAAGAAATATAAAAATGACAAATTTATCAAATGTATTCAATATAAGAATCAACTGGTTAAGGCCAGGGATATAGCTCAGTGACACAGCACTTGCCTGGCAAGGGTGAGATCATGAGTTTAATTCCCAGTACCAGAAAAAAAAAAAAAAAAAGAATCTACTGATTGAAATGATGCCTGCTAGCCAAGGGTTTAGCTCAGCAGTGTAAGCACTCACCTGGCAAGCACGAGGTCAAGAGTTTGACCCCAGGTACAAAAAAAAAAAAAAAAAAAGAAATGACACCTGCTGGAGCAGCACTCAATAGTCAGTACATAAACAAATGTATACCCAAGTGATACTCAGAGTAAGCTATTAAACAGTTACAATATATTAGTCTTCTGAAAGAAGAAACAAAAAACCACTGGGGAGTCTATTCTAGAATCTAAAGAAGAATAAGGACACATGAAACAGAATAAAGCATGCATTATTTTTGGATCTGGTAGTAAAAGTAGCTATACAAAATACGGTTGGCACAGTTGCTTAATGTTAGATATGAGTACTGTTAGACGATACTAAATATTGTTAGCTGTAGATAATACTTTTCTGTTGATTCTGTTTCTTAAATGTGGCATTCATTGTATTGTAGTTTTGCTGGAGCCTACTGTTTTTAGGAGATACATACTGAAGTATGTGTGAGTGAGATATCACAATGACTACAGCCATCTCTGATAATTTGGAAGTAATGTGGATAGAGAATCTGTGTCTGTGTATATTTATGTAAGAAAAGTAAGCCAGATGTTAATATTAATAATTGATGATGCTAGAAATAAATACATAGTGTTCACTCTACTATTTTTGCTACTCTTTTCTATGTGCTTGACATTTTTTCAAGATAAAAAATCTAGACTGTAATATGACTGACCAATTATATAAACCAGTTGGTCAAGATTTTCAGGAAAAATTGAGGGGGGAAAATGCTTACTCCAGGCTTTTAAATCTGTCTACACATGAGCCAAATATTAACTGCCCTAAGTGAGATGGGGTGTTGACTGATTCCTACAGGAAACTGCATGGACTAAGTGTGTCTTAGCAAGATTTGGTGAGGCAAATATTGGTGCTTTTGTGAGCTGAAACAAGTATCTTGGATAACTTAACAACCCTAAACTTCTAATTTTCTCATCTATAAAATAGGACTAGTATGAAACCCCTTGTGAAAGTGTTGTAAGAATTAAGTATCCTCATGTAATGAGTCCAGCAAATCTTAGCTATGAGAATGCCGATGAAGCAGTCACCACTATGTTGGGTGCCTTTGCAGCCAAGTTAGTTCTTAGCATGATGATTGTTCAAATCACTCATAGATTGTTCAAATCACTCATAGACTGTTTTCAAAACAAAGATGTTTGCCATCTATTCCAGGCCTGAATCTGTGGATAGAGATCTGAGGCACTTTGTTAACACAAGTCAGAATAGTGTAAGACATATTCTCAGAATCCTTGGCACAGTTGGCACTTAGTAAAATACCGAGTCACCAAGTGTTAAAGAAAGGAAAAGAGAATATCCCTTGGGTAGATCTTGGGAGACAAGGGCTGGAGTCAGCATTCCAAGTCAGCTAGAGGTTATGAGTTCAAGCCCCAGTACAAAAAGAAAAAAAAAGAATCAGGTGTACTTCATACCTTGCTTGCTGTCAACTAGGAACATTCCCTAGTTGCCTCAGGAAGCCAGATGATTTACTTTACTGATAAATATCTGTTTAAATATCTTTCTCTTTTTGGGAGTTGCCTTCATAACCAGATTAGGAACCCCACAAGAAACCCAAGCCCACTGATTTATGTACATCTCATTTTGATCCATACTGTCATTGCCCATATCCCATATTCACAGACTTGGCTCCAGAAAATGTGTAGCTTTCCCCCAAGATGAATATTTAGAATATGTCTAAAGGTTTAGATATAACTGGAGCCTAGAAAAGTTTAGTCTAGACAACACAGTACCTCCTTGAAATAAATCACTGATTACAGAAGTACAGCCTGACTTGGGTAGGGATCTATGCTCATATGAAAGTCTTATTTTAAAAAGTAAGCCAAACATGGCCACTTCTCATCTACTTGGTATCATCAATATGAGGGCACTGGCAGATGGGTTGAGATCTTATTTGCATAATCAGTGTTTGAGATGAGCATTGTGTAGAATGTAGCCAAGCTATACATGGGTGATTTAACCTTTTTTTTTTTTTTTTTTTTTTTTTGTGGCCTGTCTAGTTCCCAGTGCTGCTCCTCAGAATCTGTCATTAGAAGTGAGAAATTCAAAGGTAAAACTTTGTAATGCTACCTGCCATTTCCTTTCCTGGTATATAGCTGAGCCTCAAAGTAGCTCACAGAAAGGGAGATGCCATACATAACTGAAAACACTGATGATCAAGAAGAGAAATAAGACATTAGTATTATACCTGCCAGTAATCTTGGGCTTAGTGTTTAATTTTACTTCTTTTTCTGATGCTTTTTCTTTTCTTTTTTTTTTTCTTTCCTTCCTGCAAAGAAGTTACGTTTTTTGAGTAAACATATTTGAGTTCTAAACTGTCCAAAACCTTGGTGATGCGGCAGGAAATAAAATCTTAGTGATGACGTGATCCCTTAGTCCTGTAAGATGTGTGTGGCCTATAAGCAGGCACTATAGATGTGGTTGCATGTGCTCACCATCTAGTCCGGGTGGTTCACTGGAGGTCTGGTCTCAGAACCCCAGAGCCCCTCCTGGTCTACACAGGCAAGAAAAGTAATCAGTCCTTTCAGAATGTACTGTGGGACCTAGCTGTTAATTAATGATCTCCTCTTTAGAGAATTTTAGATAGAAATTGTATAATTTCAAATATTTTGGACTAGAGCCATACGGGGAAATTATACCTAACAATGACCTACTTCCTAATCCATGTACCCTTGACCCTATGCTTTCATTTTGAAAACTTTTTGGGAACTTCTGATCTACATCTTCATTCTGAGCAAATACTGAGAAGAGCAAGGGCCCAGAGTGCACTGCTTGAAAACTACAAGTTAGCCCCAGTTAGTCATAGTTGTTTTTAAATTAAGTATTTTGTATGGCTCTTGAGTAAAAGCAGTAAGCACCCTGCTTTCCAGATGTTCCTTTTTTTTTTACATAGTGAAGTCAGGTTAATACACACAATTAGGACCAACCTTTAGATGTGTTCGGCTTTTCCCTATAATTTTGTCTTTCCCAGAGTATTATGATTCACTGGCAGCCACCTTCTCTATCCACACAAAATGGACTAATTACTGGTTACAAGATTCGCTACCGAAAGGCCTCCCGCAAAAGTGATGTCACCGAGATCTTGGTAACTGGGGCACAGCTGTCTCAACTGATTGAAGGTAAGCTGGTTTGTACATAGCAAAAACTGGGTGAGAAGAGTCTTTCTCAGACAATAAATTCTGCTAGACTAAGGGCTGCTCTGAGCTATTGACTTAAATATGGTTCTCAAAAATTTATAATAGTCTGCATTTTACCCATTACAATGAAAAATATTCTTACAGATTTTATCACCAGTAAGTGGTAAGACTGTAACTTTTATTTCTCTGCTGATACTCTCTGTATAGTTTTTCCATTGGGTACAATAGAAAACGTTGCACACCTGGTAAAAATGGGCCCAATGCAGATGTAATATGGGTTCATCCTACAGGAAACAGAAAACTTTTCTTTCTCCAAAAGAGAGCAGACTATGCAAGCACAAGATCTTTACAGGATAATCTTGGGAGGCCCACTCAAAGGTACATGTAACTGAGAATAGAGTCTAGGCATTTGCTAACCTAATGAAGAAAAGAGCAAAATATGTCCTGCTTAGATCATAGTCAATTCTGTAGCCATAATAAACATCTCTAAAACACCCTGAAGAATAAAGAAAGCAGCCGGGATTTAGCTCAGCGGCATAAGCGCCTGCCTAGCAAGCATGAGATCGTGAGTTCGATCCCTGGTACCAAAAAAAAAGAACAAAGAAAGCAATTCTGTGAGCATGGTCCCATCCATGGTCTTGACCAAAAGCATTTACTGTGCACATACTGGCCCTTGATATATAATGGTTAACAAAACAGACCTTGTACTCTTGAAACATTAACTTGAAGTTTGGTAAGATGCTGAGGATGAGTGTATACTCTTGAGTATGGATTTTGAAGATCCTGTACTGAGCAGTATATTTTGTGATAACACATTTTGCCTTATCTTTACAGTACGTGTTGTGTACGTTTTGTTTGTAAGTTTAGAGAAAGAGGAGCTATTAGCCACTTCATATATTCTTCCCTTTCTTGCTCAATATTGGACATTCTGACTTTCCCCAGAGGGCAGGGAATAATAGATTGGTTGGGTTCTTTCTGATCTTAACTGAGCCATGTTTTTCAGTAGTCCAGGATGTTGTCTGTTAATAGTTACAAACTCATGTGCAGCCCAATCTGGTGCTTTCTGGTTCAATATGTGCAGAGCCAAGACAGAAAAGTAAACTGACCTAGGCACGGCCATTTTGTTCCTCTTTCTGTCCTTGCCTTCTTGTGGGCAAACAGATTGAGAATGGATTTGTAGAGAACAGAACCATCCAAACCCCCCTCCCACACCATGTGCTAATATTGGTTAACTGAACCAATTACACCCTGACATCCTGCTCAACTTACTTTCTCAGTAATTGTCTGTGATTGGAGTTTTTATGCTGGTCTTCAGACATCAATATTTGGATATGGAGAGATAGGATCATTTTCATAACCTTACAAGGCCTGCGTAGTATCTGGATTTTATATACTGTAAAAATATTTGTCCAGATGTATGAGTAAGTGACTGCATTAACTATTGTGCTGCTTTGTGGGATAGATACATATATATGTATGTATCTTGCCTTTGGTACATTGCTACTTGAAGTAAATAAGCTGGTAGTAAATAAAAAGTTGCATAATAGAAAAGCTTGGGGTTTTTCTTTCACTTGCTATAAATATATTTAGGCAATTGGTTGTTCAGAAATAGATTTCTAGGCCATATTTGATGTTTAAAATGTTTCTGCTGTGGTTATGTGAGGGCTCAGAGAACAGAGGTAACCTGATAGAGGCTACATCTTTGCATTCTTTTCTGGGTTTTGGTGTCTTCTGAAGCCAGCTAATTTTGTTCCTTTGCAAAATCTCTTTCATTATTCTTGACCTTAACATCCTTTGTAAGAAAATCAAGGAGTTGCATTAAATGAACTCCAGGTGCCCTTAAGCGCTTAAGCAAAAATCTCTATAATCTATGTGGAGCTTTAGTTATTTCTGTTTTTTCTCTTGGGTTGTATGGGCTTTATTCAGCCATGGCTGTAAAGATGGGCTATATTTATATTTTGCCTATTCTGTGTTTAATCAAGTTACAAAATATGTCAGACAGTAAAATACTTGTTTTGATGAAAGATTACTAATTTTTTGTTTTCCAAAGCTGTGTTTCATCTTTTCTCCCCCTTGTCATTTGGGTCTCAGGTCTTGATCGGGGGACTGAATATAATTTTCGAGTGGCTGCTCTAACAGTGAATGGTACAGGCCCGGCAACTGACTGGCTGTCTGCTGAAACTTTTGAAAGTGACTTAGATGGTAAGAACAAACAATGGGCGGGACCAACATCACAGATACTATGTTAACCGTGGTCAGTGAGTCACAATGGAAACCCATAGCTTTGGCTCCAGTCTGTGAACTTTAGTGCATTATACTGCTGCTGTTCCCATAAAGCATCATTGCTCCTGAGATGACCTTTAGAGAATTGTCTCTTTAAGCAGAACAGAACAAATGAAAATGTACAGATGCTTTAAATCAGCATGCCCTCTCAAGGCTATTAAGTATGTGGATGTTCTAAAATTTAATGTTGAGCCACATCAGTTGTACCTTTATTTCAATTAGTTTCTCACTCCTGAATGCCTTGCCCTTTTTCTTATCCATTTAGTGAGTATCTCTTATATGGGTATAATGTGGTGGTGCTTTTATCAGTGACTGATACCAGATGTGGAGGAAAAAAGATCTAAATTCTTTTTTTTTTTTTTGAGTCTCCTTTTACTAATTTTTAAATTAAAGAGGTAATTTATGCCTTGAAGTTTATTGAAAGAATTTATAAATGTCCACCTCCTAAAAACCTTTACTCTCCTACCAATAGAATTTTTATTTTTTCCTGTTTACAGATTTATAGATCATTTAAGGGAGTAAGTAATGGACTGCATTGCTGTAAAATGGTACTTCACTATCTGTTGACAACAGGCTTCTAATTTCTTGATACTTTTTGTTCATTATCACTGAGAATTTGAGAATGGGATGTAGGGCAAGGGATAAGCAACTATTGAAGATAATTTGTTTTTCTCCATTGAACAGAGGTCCTGGATCTGTCATCTTTCTAAATTAATTTTGCATTATCTTACATTTAATGCTGTTTGGGTTGTGTTTCCTTCCTACGAGGAAGCAAAACTGTGGGCCGTGTTTCACTATTGTCTTTGAAAGGTTGGACCCAAATATTTTGGTAGGAGGCTGAACATCATTCCCCAAGGATGGTGAAACATAATAAAAGAAAATAAGTTTCATCTTGCTTTTCTTCTTTGCTTCCCAGAAACTCGTGTTCCTGAGGTGCCTAGCTCTCTTCATGTCCGCCCGCTTGTCACTAGCATCGTAGTAAGCTGGACTCCACCAGAGAATCAGAACATTGTGGTGAGAGGTTATGCCATTGGTTATGGCATTGGTAGTCCTCATGCTCAGACCATCAAGGTGGACTATAAACAACGCTATTATACCATTGAAAATCTGGGTATGTTTGCTAAGTAAAGGAAGTCATTGTACATCAAATACCTTTTTACTTATTATGTAATAATTTTTTCTGTCTTTTTCCTTTTTATTGGTACTGGGGAATATGTAATAATTTCTTACATAATAATTGCAGAAATAATACAAAGAATTCCTTTATATCCAGATATCCCGAAAGCTGACATTAACTACATTTGCATTATCCTTCTCTGTCCATATGTATATATTTTTTGTCCTGAACCATTTGAAAATAAGTTGTAGATATGGTAACTCTTCTACTAATACTTTTATCATAGAACTCTTAAAAACAAGTTTCCTAACATACAGTTATCACACTCAGAATTTTTATTGAGACAGTATCTAGAGACTACATTCATATTTGACATGTTTTTCATTAACCTCTTTTACAACAAAAGAAAAGCATTGTTGTCTGGTCCAGGATCCTATGTTGCATTTTGTTAGCATGTCTCTAGCTTTCTTTGATATGAAACAGTTGTTCCAATTTTTTTTGATTTCTGTGATTTAAAGTATAGGCCATTTATATTTTGTTGAATGTCCCTCACTTAAGACTTTTGAAAGTAACTGTTTTCATTACATTCAGATAATACAGTTTTAGGAAGAGTGGCTTAACAGTGCTGGGTTCTTGTGAGTATATCATATCAAGAGTCATGCGGATAGTCTGTTGGCAGTGATGTTAACTTTAACACTTAGTATGGTATCTGCCATATGATTGTACTATAGAGTCATTTTCCTTCGTGATTAATGACTGCGTCTTGAGTCCTATTTCTCATTAAACTTTCACTCACTAGTTTCAGCATTTCTAGTAACAATCACTATTCTGATATTTTAAAAAAAAAACTAGGAATTCCATTAGACCCAGCTATTCCCCTTCTAGATACTGTTCCAAAAGAGTTAAAGTCATTGTATAACAGGAATACATGCATACCCGTGTTTATAGCAGCACAATTTATATTAGCTAAATCTTGGAAACAGTATATATGTACATCAGCAGATAAATGGATGAAGGAAATGTGGTATTTGTATTCAATGGAGTACTACTCTGCCATAAATAAACTTGAGGCATTTATAGGCAAATGGATGCAACTCAGTGGTGATAGTTCTAGTTTTTTGTTTTTGTTTTTGTTTTTTAATTTAAAGAAAGAAGAAAAAAAAAGAAAGGCCATTAAAAAATGCAGTAAAAGGGTACAAATAATACAGTATTTCTAGAAAAAAATATATACAGTACGAAATCAAGTGGTGATAGTTTTAGTTCCATATTTCTTCTAGAATATTTGTTAGCATTCTGTAATAAGGAAGATCTTTCACTGAGTAGAGAGTGAATGACTAACGATTCCTGTGTTCACTTGACATCTCCCTTCTATCTTTGATCTTGTTCTTCCTTTTTGACACAGATCCTCCATGTTCATCTGCTATTTTATTAATTTCAGCCCTGAAATCAACCATTTCCCCAAGGAACTCTGGTTTCTTTTATGAAAAGTGATTTTTCAAAACAAATTAGTTGAGCACTAAATATTCATTGTTACTAAGGAACTTAAAAGCTACTAAAACTAGAAGCCAGCTAAGTAAGGTCATAAGATAAAAAGTTAATAAGTAAAAAAACAGTTGTATTTTCACATGCTATCAATAAACACTTGGAAATTGGATTTAAAATAATACCACTTAAACTAGCATCAAAATTGAAATACTGAGAAACAAACTTACAAAATATGTGAAAGATCTGAGTACTAAAAACAAGAAACATGTTGCCAATAGAAACTAAAGAAGGTGCAAGTAGAAAAACTGTGTTCATCAATTTGAAGGCATTATTAAGGCAACAGTTTGTCTCACTGTACATCTATGAGAAATTCCACTAGACTTTTTTTTAGAAATTGATAAACTGATTCTAAAATTTTTATGAAAAGTAAGAATAGCTAAAAATTTTAAAAATAAAGTTAGAGGACCCTTATCTTATTTCATGACATCTTGTTAGACTGTAGTATCGAAGACCTTGTGATGTGATATAGATAGAAAAATAGATCATTGGAACAGTATAGAATCCAGAAATATGTGATTAGTTTTTATGAATGTGCTTGAATAATTCATTAGGAAAAAATCTTTTCAACAAAAGATGGGGGAATAGTTAAATATCTATATGAGAAAGGAAAAAAGCCCTGTTCCTTATCTTACATCAAACAAACAAACAAAAAAAAAGACCTAAAACTTAGGGAAAAAAATCTTCATGACTTTGGAGTAGGCAAGGACCTTTTTGGGTGCAGAAGAGCACAAATCATAAGATTTAAAACTTGATAAAGAGAACTTCATCAAAAATTCAAACCTCTACTTTTAGAAAGACACCAGTAAAATGATGCTAAAGGTATTTTAAAGAAAATATCTCCCATTCAAATATCCGACAAGGAATTTGAATCTAGATTATATAAAAATGCTTAGAATTCAGTGAAGAAAACCCACTAAAAAGTTGAATAGAAAATTTGGACAGATACCATACCAGAAGTTATATGAGTAGACAGTAAGTTTGTGAATGCTCAGAACTATTTAATCATCAGAGAATATAAGTTCAAACCACAATGAAACAGCACTCTACACCCATGCAGATTTTGTTGAGTTTAATAGACTAACAATACCAAAGGTTAGCAGGGGTGCAGCAGCTCCCATACTTGCTGTTGGTAATACCTGATGATACAACCAACTTGTGGAACAGTTAGAGACTTCTTATAAGGTTAACTAGCCAATCCAGAAATCTCATGAACCAAGAGAAACAAAATCACTGTCAAAAGAGTTGAACAAAAATGTTTATAGTAACTATAATAGTCCAAAAGAAAAAAGTACACATTTTTATCAAGTGATAAATTGTAATTGTGTTGTATTCATGCAGTCGAATACTACCCAGCAATTAAAGAAACAGGCTACCAATACACACAGCAGCAGAAATAATTCTCACAAATATGATGGTGAATAAGAAGTTAAACACAAGAGAGTACATACTTTTATTACATTTTTATGAAATGTCAAAAGCAAATTCAGTGATTGCATGGAACTGAAAGTGATAGGAAATGACGGGGGCATAGCTTCTCAGTGGATCCTTTATATAGTGTTGATAACATAGATACATAAATTTGTCAAAATTAATATATGCTGAAATAGGCATATATTGTCTAATTATTCCTCATAGTTTATTTTAAAAACAAATATTTCTGAAATATTAATAATTAATTGATCTGGAGACGTATGATTGCTTTCTCAAATCATTGGGTTATCATTATAAATCTTACTGTGAAAGACTTCTTTTATTTCAGAATTTGCCCTGATGAAATTTTTTAATCATTGTTTCATAAACATCTTTCCTAAGAACAACTTCAGATGCCTGACAAATGAGTTATCTTCATCTTTGTTGCTAGAAAATAAGCTGCGATTTAAATCTTTTTCTTTCCTAGAAGAAATCACTTAGCTAAGCACTTAAGCATTTCCCCACATGAGCAGTCTTGTAAGGTAATTGTTGGAGGGCAGACGCAAAGCTTTGCTTGAGATAGAAACATCCCTGTGATGACCAGCCTCCTACCATTCCCATTATGTAACTGCTGAAATGGAAATCTTCTGTAACTTTTTTTTTTTTATCAGTACCGGCGATCGAACGTGCAAGGCAGGCACTTATGCTGCTGAGCTAAATCTCCAGCCCTTAAATGGAAATCTTTAGCAATACACTTGCAGAACATGGTCCTTGACCTTCTGGTGCTTTCAGTCTAATAGGAGAAGGGAAGTAAAACACAAGAAACAATGAAGTGAGTTGAAGTGAAGTGTGTTCAGAGAAGGGAGAGCTAGCTAACAAGGCACAATGGAGCAGTCAGGAAAGACCAGCCTGGCTTAAATATTGTCAGAATAGTGTTTGAAACAGAGAGATGAGAAGAAGCACTTCTTGTGTGGAAGACAATAAGCAGGTAGACTGTTAGAAAAGAAGGGTGTATATGGGAAGTAATAAAGATAAAATTAATTTGATATAAAGTAAGTTCAAAAAACATAGTTTTAACCTATATGTATATAGGGTACACATAATACTAAGTAAAAGAAACAACTCAGAGATGAAGAAGTGCACATTGAAATTTATTCACGAAACTAGAGCTCTCTCCTGGTCTTCACATCTATATAAACATTTGCTTGTTGAGTTTCTGCACCTGGATATATTCAAATTCCGTTTGGTCCAAAATTTGAAGATAATATCTTTTTCTCAAAACTTAACAATCACAAGATAGATATCCCTAGTTACTGCTAGAGATAGAGCAATGAATGAGATGTGGTCATAGTTGTTAGAAATAACACAATTTTAAAATAATTAAGTGTTCACAGTGGTAAGAAACAGAAATAGTATTACAGGCTATGTAAGTAGAGGCTAACCAGTATGAGATGAGCCCTTTCAGGTGAATGGGTTCATCTAGATGTAGAAGACAGGTAGGATGTGTTCTCAACCTAGCCAACAGTAGTGGGAAAAAAACATAGTGTGGACAGGAAAGATGGAGCACAAAGAACAAAGAAAAACTGGGGAGAGAAGAGCTGCATCAGTGTCTTGATTGTTTTTCTAGAGATGATAAGAGAGAGATCTAAATATTCCTAGATTTTGGGCTTGAGCAGCAGGATTGGTAGTAGTGCTGTTTGTTGAGCTAGCAAATACTGGAGCAGATCAGAAGAAAAAGGGAAAAAGGAAGAGAAAATTTTGGGGTATCCAAGAGAAGATGCCAAACAGACAGTTGAAGATAACAATCTAGGCTCCAAAGAAAGGTCCAGACTGAGTTTTTGCGGTTGATGAGGAGTTACAAGCTAATCAAAACTAAGGAAACAGTACCTAGGGGGGTGGGGATGTGACGAGACTGTCTTGGAATTGTATATCCTGATGGCTCTGCCTCTCCCATTTTAGTAAATGACATCATTGTCTAGGATGTTACTTAATCCACTTTTTCCTTATCAGTCAAGTAGAAAGTTTTACTGATTCTGTTTGTTCTCAGTTTTGTCTGACCTGGTAGCACCAGGTGCCTCCACATACTGCCCATTATTATCTGAAGAGTGGATGTGCAAACAAGGCAACTATTTTAAGTTTTTGAAGCAACATAGGCCACAGGAAATGCAGCCCCTTAGTTGGGCATTGCAGAATCATCTCCAGAACAGTTACATTTTGGGTCATATCTTATCCAGCCAAGAAATCTGCATGATGGCTAGATTTGGTTTGCTAGTTTGGATCAGGAGGCCCCTCTGGAGCATTGGCACTGCATAGTTTCACACATACTTAGCGCATCCCCTGCTTCTACTTTGGCTGTTCTAGTCACTGTCCTTCAGGGAAGGAAAAGAGTTCATTTAATAGCAAGCTTCGGGCCGGGGCTATAGCTCAGCAGCATAAGTGACTGCTTGGCAAATGAGAGGTCGTGAGTTCAATCCCAGGCATCAAGGAAAAAAAAAAAATAGCAAGCTCCACTGATAGCCTTCTAGCATAGGAAAAGTCTGTTAATTCATTGTCATTCAAGCCCTTCATTTAGCATCACCAGACTATAATAGTCAACATCCACTATTGAGACTGTAGGTAGAAGTTGATCTAGCTGGATTTTTTTTCCATCATCCCCTCTCCTCACACCTGAAAATAATTCCAGGCAAGTGCTTATGCCACTGAGCTAAATCCCCAGCCCTTAATTCCAGATTTTTTAAAAAAAATATTAAGTCTTGAATTTCTCTGCAGTTAAGATTATGCACTTTCGAATTTAAAAAAACTTTTACAAGGATTTTCAACTGTTTCAACTTGTTTCTTTCCCTCAGATCCAAGCTCTCACTATGTGATTACCCTGAAAGCATTTAACAACGTGGGTGAAGGCATCCCCCTATATGAGAGTGCCGTGACCAGGCCACACACAGGTAGGGAACCCTGTCTGTCTCTGGTGCTCAGCACTTTTTCCCTGCAGCTTACATATTGGCATGGATCCTGCCTTCCTAATCATGAAGGAAAAGGATATGGCAGTTGAGAGTGCAAACTTCAAATGGGTACATAGGCTTTCAGTATGGAAAGTTCTGTTAATTCCTGTTTTGCTTCTTGGAAAAGAATATACCTGTTGGGTACGCTGTGCTACATAGATAGGTATACATGTTTTAGTGTGATGGGATGTAGAAGACATAGTTTTGAGAGATATAAAAATGATTTTTTTTTTTTTTTTTTGAGACAGAGACAGTTTCACTATGCAGTTCATGCTGGCCTTGAACTAACTTTATAGCCCAGGTTGGCCTCGAATTCCCAGTGATCCTCCTCCTGCCTTAGCCTTCCTCCTGCCTTAGCTTGGGATTACAGGCGTGAGCTACCATACCTAGTGTGATTTTCATTGTTTAGGCATGTTCATTATAAAATGACCCAAAAAGTGAAAGTACCTCTGCATATCTACAGATTACTGATTGTGGCAATAAATACATGTGATTGTCAAACTCAGCATTTGCTCTCCAGTCACTTGAGTTGGTTAGGAAAGCAGGATTTTATATACCTTTCATATGCTTCATATTTATATAAAGCATATAAAACCAGAGGCAGTATCCATTTTGATCAGTTGTACATGTATTACAAGAGTGAGTAAATATTCAATTGCTTTTCCATTCTCTTTTAAATATCTAAATCAATGTGCATATAATATAAAATTTCTGTAGATACTAAGTTAGATATGAATGAAAGTTTATTGAAGTAAATATATTAGAATTGTGACTTTTTCTTTAAAGGGTACTAAAAACCAAAAACTTTCAGAAATACTTTGTTTCATTTGTTGCCCACAAGTTTGAATAAATACTACGTGAGATCTTCTGTATGCTTTGCATGATAGCACAGACATGACAGTGTTCTTGTTAAAGGTTAATCTCTGTCCCTTTTTGTTTTTTAATAAAGCTTTTACTTCAGACTAACGTCATTACCACATATTCAGTAGTTCTGTCCTGTCTTCTCCTATATGCTTACAATTTTTAAATTCTTTTTAAAGTAGCTTTAGTATTCCAAAAAAGGGGCAAAAAAGAATAAAGTAGTCTTCTACTTTCTTAGTTGGGCTGAAATAGGAAAAACATGAAATTATTTTGTGTGACTTTAAAATATTATATACTGGCTAGTAATACACAAGGAAATATTCCTGAATCATATAACCTAATTACCTTTTCCAAGAGTTGGTACATATAAGAAAAAAATTTCTCAAAGAGTTCTAATGATTTCTGTACCTAAAGATGCATTTTCTGTAACTAGTTACTATACATCCTAACAGTCTTTCAGCAAAGCCCTTGATTATAATGTATGCTGTTCCTCTGTTATTTTTAGACCTACTTATATAGGAAATACACTCATGGAGACTATTACTTTAGTACGGTAATTATTCATAAGGCCTGTGCCATATTAGATTTTAAGTTATAAAAAGAACTAGTCACTGTAACTATGTGGGAAACCCATTTTAAAATTTGAACTTAAAATAAATCAGTATGTGTATACTTGGAGAACCTAACCCAAAATTGCAAAAGCCCAGAGGGATCTTGCCCTATGTAAGCTCATGGTCCTTAGTATTTTTGTGCTCATCCCAGCCTCTGTTTTGTGGTGGCACTTAATAATGCGTCCTTTGCATAGTGTCCGAATTCTGACTTTCCCTTCCATCAGATGAGTACTCTGATTTCTGTAGTTCTTTGAAGGCTGTGGCATTTGAACCTGTGATAACCACAGATAGCATTTCCCTTAGGTGACAGGGACTCATCCCTGGGTGGTTCTAAGACTGCTGGAGAAAGTACAGCAGACAGTCTCATTGTAGTTAGCATACGTTTCCTTAAGGAAAAAATATGCCCTTGAGTTGCTTTGCTTTATTTGGCTGTGAGCTCTTTGTTGCACTGCCTCTCACCTAAGATATCAGCAGGTCTGAATTCAACCCATGGGCTAATGTTCAGGGCTTGGTTAAGAGTAGGACCCTTACATGTCTGGTGATATGCACTGTTAATTTAGGTTCCCAAAATTCAGCCACATTTTGTTAAATGTGGCTGTTTGTTCAGAAATTATACCCTTGATTTAAGAAACAAGTCTTTTAGTCTTTTCAGGATCCTTTTGGACAGGAGATAGGACTTTCAAATAATTGTAGGAACATTCAAGTATATATATGTTAAAATAGTCACACATTTTAATGAGCCCTATAGAATACAGTACAGAAGATAGCTAATGCTCCTCTTAACATTTTCCTACAAATTTTTCCTGAAAGAACACAGTGGAAATACTCTTTTTTAGTGGATGATGATCTATTAACCCTGGATTTTCTTTCTTTTTCTCTATTCCTCATCTTTCATTCCATTATATTACCCTGCATTTCCCTTTTATTTTATTTTTGTTTACATTAAAATGCCCCTTCCGTTTTCTAATTACTTTCTGCCCAGACACTTCTGAAGTTGATTTATTTGTTATTAATGCTCCATACACTCCAGTGCCAGATCCCACTCCCATGATGCCACCCGTGGGAGTTCAGGCTTCCATTCTGAGTCATGACACCATAAGGATCACTTGGGCGGACAATTCCCTGCCCAAGCACCAGAAGATTACAGACTCCCGGTACTACACAGTCCGATGGAAAACCAACATCCCAGCAAACACCAAGTACAAGGTACTGACACACTGGCTTTGGGTAAAAAAACCTAATCATTGATGTCTTCTAATTTTAAAGTTCTTGATTCCTACTTTTTTCAGAATGCAAATGCAACAACATTAAGTTATTTGGTGACTGGTTTAAAACCAAACACACTCTATGAATTCTCTGTGATGGTGACCAAAGGGCGAAGATCAAGCACATGGAGTATGACAGCCCATGGGACCACCTTTGAGTTGGGTATGTTTTTTCGGAACCCATGTCACATGGCTTTTTTCCTCTTTGCAAAACACAAAGGTAGTTAGAAGTCTACAGTACCACATACCATGTCATGAGACTTCTCATTGCCTGCTTTTACCTCCCAGGGAAAGAAGCGAATGTATTAACTGACTTATTTACAGACACAGTGAACAGCTACATTTGGAGTTGGGTTTTACCACTATACAAGAATATAAGCAAATAGTATGATTCTATAGTCCAAAGCACACTGGATTTTAGGAATTAAAGACTTGAGTTCAATACCAGATGGTTGTTCATCTACTGACAGTATGATCATTAGCAAGTTGTCTAGCCTTTAAAAATTCAGCCTCTTCAGTTCTATGAGATCAGAGATATTAGTCCCTGCCTTTCCTACAAAGTTATTGTAAGGTAAAATGAGGAACAGATAGGAGAGCACATGGTAAACTATAAACCACTGAATAGATTTAAGAAATTATTGTCATTAGTCCTACTTTTCTGGCAAATTGAGATTGAAAAATTGAAATGAGCTGTCCTTCAAGTATGTGTGCTAGAGCCTGATCTCTTGACTAAGTGACCCTTGAGCCACTTCAAAAGCTTTCTTGAAAAACATTTAGTGTCTTTGCAAAATCTTTCAATAAAATATCCTTTGGGGTTTTTTTTTGTAAGGAACCATGAAAGAAAAAAAATATGTAAAGTAAGGAGAGATCAGGCTCTCCAGATTTGAGATTGTTTGCTTTCTGCCCACTTTTAGGCCTCACCTTCTAATTCCCTTTGGGCTTTCCTAGCAAAAAGGTGTCTGTGACCACTGGGCATCTCTGCCTATGCTGACTCTAATGCCTTCGTCCCCTGTGTCGAGATAATAAAAAACTAATGGTATAAATTCCCAAACGCTGAGGTTGACTTTTTTCCATGTTTGGAATGCATGCAGAAAGAGGGACTGAACTTCGAGAGTTTGAAATCTATTACACAAAAATTGAAATAGACCTTTAGTTGCTTTCTTTGCCAAAGTTTTAAAAAATATCTCTTTTCTTTCATTCTACCCATTAACTAATAAGTGAAATTCGTATTTACCCTGAAGATCTTTGTGTTTAACCGTGCTTCCTTCTCTTATACCAGAATTCCAATAGTTCAAAAGAGTAACTTTGAGGAGGTGCTTAATCTGCACATTTCCCTACTAGAACATTAAACATTTTCAGCTATAATAACATGGAAGGCAATACAGAAACACAGTGTTGTTTTTGTTTTGTTGGTATTTTTTACAGCTTTTCTTTGGAGTAGTAACCTCAGTAGTTTGCAGTATGCTTTCAGTGTAGTCTTAAAAGTAAAAAAATGTCAATTCATAAATCATTTTTTTCTTTGTGTGGACATAGGGATCATAAAATCCTTTGGTTTGGAGAGCCAACTATATTTAACTACTTTACACTTAAAAATATTTTAACAAAATAATCCTAATCAAGGGGAAAAAGTCATCTTGGGTAAATTACCTAACTTCTCTAATTTTTGGTACCCTGACCTATAAAGCATGGACAGTGATAGCCATCCCTCAACATTGACATAAATTTTAAATGAGATATTTTTTGTACAACGCCTAGCATATAATAGGTACTTGGTACTTGATTTCCCTAGCTATCTTGTATATATCTCACCCCCAACTAAGATTCCAATTCTGTGTCTTCAGTGTATTTTTTCTCTTTTGTACTTATATATTCTTTTTATGGGTACTGTTTGCACATAGACTTTGAGTTGAAGCTAGGAGGCTTTAACTTTTTGTCTTGTACTTTTTTTGTACTGTGCTCTACAAATGGAAAAGGTTAAGAAAATGGTCAATTTATATTGTATTGAACAGGAATTATTCAAGGCATTGTTATTTTGTAGTTCCTACTTCTCCACCGAAGGATGTGACAGTTGTAAGTAAAGAAGGAAAACCAAGGACCATAATTGTGAATTGGCAGCCTCCCTCTGAAGCCAATGGCAAAATTACAGGTAAGATGCCCAGAGTGCATGTTTGCCTGTGCCTTGTTCTAGGATATTATTGTGTTGTCAAGAAAGGTGGGAGTCTGAAGGCTGACTTGGTCATTTTATGGGTAGTGTGATCTATGCTGCTCTTTGAAGATGGAGCAAGGTCATGTGCTCTTTGCCCACAGTAGCATTAAAATGAATCTACACTAGTGGTTCAGCCTCATGCTGCCTGTCAGTCTGATGGGGTTGAGGGTGCTCTAGACCGCCTCTGGCTATGCTGGACTTTACAGACATATGTATTTGCCTTCAGAAAGCTGTTCACTGTCTTTTTTTTTTTTTTTTTTTAAAGAAAGACTAAACAAAACAGAAAACGGGTAGAAATAATACATACTTTCAAAGAAAGAATAAACAGTAAGAAATCATTAGTTGATATTTACATATTGTCCTCTTACAAATAGTTATTCAAGATACAAAGGTGGAGCATATAAAGTGGGAATTCAAACAGTGAGACTGCAACCAGTTCTGTTCAGCTGTCCAACAAAAACTTAATATGGTTATGAATCCTATACACTTAAACATACATGCAGTTATCCCTTATCTTCATTTATGTTGAGATTGAACAAACCCAAGCAGGCTGAAATCACTCTGAACAAAGAATAATAGATTGCTGGGTTTCACATTATGACACTCTTAGATCAGTAGTGGGTACTGTAGTGTCTCTTTTTCTTCAAAGTATTTATTCACTTCATCGAGTCGTAAGATCAGTTCTCATAAACTGTTTATAGGTTCTACACATGCATGAGTCTTAACATGTATTTCTATCCTTTTTATATTAGTGGGAGGAGCAAAACAAAGCAAGACAAAACAAAACATATTCCTATAAACACATGAACCAAAAAAACATATAAGACCACTATACAAGGAGTTCTACCACAGTTACTGTGTTGTCTCTTTTTATCTTCAATAGAATTGGCTATATCAAGTGAATATATCAGTACATAACAGTATTAATAAAAACACAACTTTGTATATCGTATAAAACTTCAAAAATAGGTAGTAATCAAACCAGAATGTGTATCGTAGTAAGTCTTGTCATCTTCAGTGTAGTTGCTTATACTCTCAGACTTGATACTATCAATCATACCAGTTTTGAATAAAATCTGTTGATACCAAGCAGCAATCAAACAAACCAGATTTAACTAAGATCAGTCATGATAAAACAGTATAAGTCATACAGGGCTCCATATTAAGTTAATAGGAAATTAAAGATGATTTCTGTGCTGTATCCTGATTTTTTTGGGATAGCTGTCTGTGCCCTCAAATCTAATACAAGTAGACAAACTGGGACAGAATAAAATCTATCCATGTAGAGTGGTGCAAGTATTATGGGTTTAATTCTTGACACACTATTAACAATATCTTCTGCCGTCTTTTTTAAGACTATTCCTCCCCTTTTACTTCCCCAGGGTGCATATTTGGGTCTCACCAAGACCCTTGGTTTTAAATTGGGGGGAGGGGGGTGGAGGTGGCAACCTGCTATTTACCTAAGTGGTTCTGAACCTTCTCTCTCCTGGATTTGATCTCTAATTGTATTCTTTTCCCATTAAAGCCTGTCTTTCCAACCTATCCACAAATACTGGTCTGGTTGCCCCTATCACTCTCTGGTTCCCTGTCACATAGAGCATTGTTTTCTCATATTTGATTTTCAGTCCATATACCCTTTTTCAGGTTAATTGTATTTCCTATAAAGAGCATCTCAGTAGACTCTACCTCCTGATCTACTCTACCTGTGATTCTTTTTTTTAATTTAGTATATCAAACCCATCTATATTAGAGATTATAACCAACCTTCTCTGCTTCGTTTCTGTTAGGCTTTTTTTTTGCCATTATTTGTCTGCTTGTCTTCTTCATTCTGCTTTCTGCTCCATTCATTGAGGCCTCTCTGCCACTGTTCCTGAAATCCTGGTACTTTTCTCTTTCTCTAGAATGCCCTGCAGTATTCTCTGTAGAGTTGGATTGGTGGTCGTCATGAATTTCCCCAGTTCCTCTTTGCCTTGGAAGCATCTTGTTTCTCCATTAATTTCTAAAGACAGTTTAGCAGGGTATATCAATCTGGGCTGGAGGCTATTTTATTTCAGGGCTTGGAATATTTCGCTACAAGCTGTTCTTGACTTGATGGTTTGTGTCGAGAAGTCTGCCGTAATTCTGATGGGCCTTCCTTTATAGGTGATCTGTTTCTTATCTGTAGCAGCTTTTCATATTCTGTTCTTATATTGAATTTCTGTGATCTTGATTATTATATGCCTGGGTGTAGCTCTGTTTTGGTTGTAGGTGGCTAGAGTTCTGTATGCCTCATACATCAGAATAACATTTCCTTTTCCTATCCTTGGGAAGTTTTCCTTAATTATTCTGTGAATAGCCTTTGTAGTTACTTTGTTGGTACCCCTGCTTCTTCATTCACATTCTTTATTCTTAAGTTATAAATCCTCTTATCGTCTTCTAGCCTTTGTATTGTTACTGCTTATTTCCTTGTTATTTTTAAAAACTTTTTCCTTTCATAATCCCACATTACAAACCTGTTCTCCAGTTTGGATAATCTATCCTTAGTTTCTTTCAAGCAGTTTTGCCAGCTTTCAATGGAGTTTTTAATTTCCTGGTAGTCTCTTTGAATTTGCTTTATGTATTCTATATTTTCTTTATATTCTTCATCAAATGGTTCTCTCCTTTGTGTTCCTCCATTCTTCCGTCTGTGTCTTCTTGAGAAGTGCTTAGCATTTCTTTTATTAATCTATTTATATCTTGCCTTACTTGGTTAAATGTTTCACTTTTGAACTTGTCTATGAGATCCACTTGTCTTTATGTCCACTGATGCCATGTCTGATATTGCATGTTTGCTGTCCTTAATCTCTTTTGTATTTATCTTTCCTGGATCAGTGTTCTCAGGATTGGGGACTGGAGGCTTTTTCTTATTGCTTCCTCTTCTCATATTTTTTGTTTCTTCCATACAGGCGTATGAAGGAGGCTCCAGTCCCTTTTTAAAAAAATTCTAGTTCTTCTGAAGCACGCTGGCTAGGTGACCCTGCCTACTCCAGGGTGCTTGCTATTGAGGTGGGGTCAGCCAGCCCGCCAAAGCCTTCACCGCATTAGTGTGTGCAGCACTTAGGGAATTGGGTTGGGTCAACCTACTGGGTCCCAGCCAGGGGCATGACCCAGGCCAAGCACATCCTACCAATCCTGTCTGGGAAGAGAACAACTGACTGAAGTCTCTGCAGTACCTTGTTTCTGCCAGTCCTGCCTGGTTTCAAAATGTTGTCCCCTTTCCCGTGGAAGTGTTTTATCCCCAACACTCACTACAGGTAAATACAGGTCCCCTACCAGCCCCGCTCTCCGCTGGTCTCACTGACCCACAACCTCAGCCCGCACCCCAGCGCAACCACGGCTCCAGTGAGTCAAAGCAGCGGGAACCTGGGCATTTTGCCGAGTTGCAGTCACACAAGTTTGGGCACGCTAGCCAGTGCAGTTCTCTGGTTCGCTGCTCCCTTCTGCCATCACATCTACCAAGGCCTTCAGGCTTGCCTGCCACCAGCTTCACTGTGCCCATGTATCTCCAGGTTCTACCAGTACTTCTGGCACAATGGGACTGACTGGTGAGAGTGCCACCAGCTACCACTGCCTTCTGTTCAAGTTTTTCTTTTTTAAAACTCTTTGTGTGGGCTTCAGTTCTCACTTTAGCTTCTTCCTGGGTCAAGGGGACCTATGTCTTTCCTGCTTGTCTTCTCTAGAATGCTGTATTCCAGCATCTGGGCTGTTTCTCTCAGAGAGGCTTTTTACTTTGCTGCTAACTGTTCCGCCATCTTCCCAGACTCCCCCAAGCTGTTCACTGTCTTAGATCACCAATTTTGGAGTCGTATAGCCTCACCTACTTCTATAGGATAATGAGCCATGAATAATGATTCTGCTCTTTTACACTAAATCCTCAAAAGCCCATTAGAGTTTTAAGTTCCTTTTCCCTGTAAGGCCTACCACTTTTGGTTCCAGAGCTCTTACAAAGCTTGAATTGTCCTTGGCCTTAAGAGGAACCTGGAATTTTTCTTCAGACTTTGAAAGGAAGTCTTCCACAGTGCAAAGGACACTGTCCTCAGCCTTATCAAGGAGAGACCAGTGAAATTTGGCTGTTGGTCCTTCTTCCCTGTCGATGTCGCTTCCGGCCGGCAGGAAGGACACACGACAAAGTCTGGCAGTGGACAACCTTTTCTTTTATTTTCCTTCTCCGTACAGCCTGCCCTGGGATCGCTCCCAGCCGAAGCCTCCTTTGGTCCGCTCCCCGCGGCTCCTTTTGGGCTTCTACTTCCGGGCTTCTCCTTTCCCCCCAGGGGTGGCACCAGTATATATACAGATACAGTGTCCAATCATGTTAAAGTGAGCAAGGCAAGCTGATTGGCTAACATCATCAGTTGCCAGGCAGACTATATTGTTGAGCGGGTTGCTTACGCGGTAAGCAGGAAACTAACGTGCTCGATGGGAGGGGTAATCTACCTCAGGCTTTACTCTTTACTACAGGCCTCACGTCCGCCAAGTGAGGCGACCGGGCTCGGGGCTGCGGCTCCCAACATCTCCCCCTTTTTTATTTTTTATGAATGTGCGCATCGTAGCCCTTTCTGGACTGGGTGCAGAGGCTTATGCCCTATGCGTAGGCCCACCGTAGGTCCTTGGCTTAGACCCTGGTCGGCCGTCCCATGGTCTGCCAAGGCCCTGAGGCCCTCGTCCTTTTTCTAGGGCCAGGCACAAACTGGACGGAACCTGGATGCACACAAGCTTGCACTCATTTCCTCTCCGTAAAGAAATCCCCTCGGAGAGAAATTTAGACCTGGGCAGCGTCTAACAGTCCAGCGGCTTACGTGCAGGATGGGGTAGGGCCTGGCTTAGGTTGAGTCGCACCGGGGGAGTACGCTCTTACCCGTCATTGACTCTCCTACCCAGCTATGTCATAATTTTTTAGAGGAGGAGTGTGGGAAGCTCACCAC